AGAGTTGTTTGAGGCTGGGTTTCACTGTGAACAGAGGTGTCCTCCAACTGTCTTCTGTCACCACACACACACACACACACACACACACACACACACACACATCCTCACACACACACTCACACACACACTCACACACACTCTCACACTCACACACACATACACACACACACTCACACACATACATACACACACATGCACACACACACACACACACACACACACTCACACACATACATACACACACATGCACACACACACACACACACACACACACTCACACACATACATACACACACATGCACACACACACACACACACACACACACTCACACACATACATACACACACATGCACACACACACACACACACACACACACTCACACACATACATACACACACATGCACACACACACACACACACACACACACTCACACACATACATACACACACATGCACACACACACACACACACACACACACTCACACACATACATACACACACATGCACACACACACACACACACACACACACTCACACACATACATACACACACATGCACACACACACACACACACACACACACTCACACACATACATACACACACATGCACACACACACACACACACACACACACTCACACACATACATACACACACATGCACACACACACACACACACACACACACTCACACACACACTCACACACACACACTCACACTCACACACACACTCACACACACTCTCACACTCACACACACATACACACACACACTCACACACATACATACACACACATGCACACACACACACAAACACACACACACACACACACACACATACACACATACACTCACACACACACTTCTGCCTCATTTTCCCACATACCAGGATTACAGGAGAGAACTACACACTAGAGACTACAACCCTGCAGTTTCTCATAGTGATCTTTTCTCCTTCCCTTCTCTTCCCCTCTTTTCCATCTCTTTCTTTCCTTTCCCTCTCCCACCTTCCTCCCCATCTTGAGTTTCACTATACAGCCAGGCTGGCCTTAAACTCACAGCAATCCTCCTGCCTCAGCTTTTCCAGTGCTGAGATTATATACAAGTTACCATATCTAGCTCCATGACAATCATCGCAACAGTCCCTTCAACCCCAGGTCAGGAGCGTAGAGCATCCTTGAAATTAACCTATAAAATGTCCAATATGGCTGAATATGCAGAAGGAGGGGCCTAGATCATTCCAGTCATTGTCATTTCCATACATATTGAAGTATTTGCTTCATGACTTGATATGTGTGTCTGACTCAGGAAGTTTTAAAATTTTATATTGCTTTTGTTTAACTTTAATATAAATACCAGAACTATTATCTTAGGTCATTTGCTTATATCCTAATTAATTTCCGCCTTCTAGTTTTACTATGGCATAGTTGACAAATAAAACCTGTATATATTCAAGGCTTAACATGTTTTAAAAATATTTGTCTTTGTTTCTATGTGTGCCTTCATGAGTTTATATGTAGCATTTGTGTACAGGTGCTGCAGAGGCCAGAGGGTGCTATATCCATGGAACTGAAGTGACAATTTCAAGCCACTCGATGCGGGTACTGGGAATTGAACCCGGGTCCTCAGCAAGAGCAGTGAGTGCTCTAACCACTAAGCCATCTATATAGAATTCACACGTGTAGTAGCCAAACAGCACTGCCATTGGCTCACACAGCCACCTTTGTGTGTGTGTGTGTGTGTGTGTGTGAGAGTGTGTGTGTGTGTGTGTGAGTGTGTGAGTGTGTGAGTGTGTGTGTGAGTATGTGTGTGTGTGTGAGTGTGTGTGTGTGCGAGTGTGTGTGTGAGTATGTGTGTGTGTGTGAGTGTGTGTGTGTGCGAGTGTGTGTGTGAGTATGTGTGTGTGTGTGAGTGTGTGTGTGTGCGAGTGTGTGTGTGAGTATGTGTGTGTGTGTGAGTGTGTGTGTGTGCGAGTGTGTGTGTGAGTATGTGTGTGTGTGTGAGTGTGTGTGTGTGCGAGTGTGTGTGTGAGTATGTGTGTGTGTGTGAGTGTGTGTGTGTGCGAGTGTGTGTGTGAGTATGTGTGTGTGTGTGAGTGTGTGTGTGTGCGAGTGTGTGTGTGAGTATGTGTGTGTGTGTGAGTGTGTGTGTGTGCGAGTGTGTGTGTGAGTATGTGTGTGTGTGTGAGTGTGTGTGTGTGCGAGTGTGTGTGTGAGTATGTGTGTGTGTGTGAGTGTGTGTGTGTGAGTGTGTGTGTGAGTGTGTGTGTGTGTGAGTGTGTGTGTGTGTGAGTGTGTGTGTGAGTATGTGTGTGTGTGTGAGTGTGTGTGTGTAGGGTAAGAACATGTAAGATCTATTGTTAGTAGATTTCAAAAGTGTCACACATAGCAGGGAACTATTGACTGAGGGATTCTTAACACCCTCACTTAGGTTGTGAAGAGCTTCCAGGTCACAGCCCTTCAATCCCAACCTGACACCCTACTTCTCTTGCACCCAGCCACCATGGCACTTCTCCAGAGAGGAGAAGAAAACCAGTCCCCAAGGCACTAGCTCCATGTCAAAGCTAGGTTCCACATCTACTGTATAAATCCAACATGGCCACTCCTTAATCAGCCAGTTGTCCCCAGTTCAGTCTTCAAGCCCCTACTGAAAACAGAGCTGTCAATTAGAGGAAACATGGGTTACATTGTTCTGTGGGCTCCTGAAAAATACTTGAGGGATGAAAATGCCCGCCGTGCTGGGTGTGGTGGCACAAGGGATAATGGCTGGGGAGTTGGGGCAGGGGTATGGAGGCCAGACTGCCACACAGCAAGAGCTGGCCTCCAAAAGGCTTTTGTTGCCTTTGGAGTTTCAGTTTTTTTATAAGGGTCTCTATATTATCTGTACTGACTTATGTATTCTTTTAAAAACATTTAAATTACAGTTTAAATTATTTATTGTATGTGGGAGCATATAACACATGGTGTGTGGAGGTCATAGGATAATTTGCAGAAGTTAGTTCTCTCTTTCCTCCATGAGGGCCCTGGGAATCAAACTCAGGTCCTTAGGCTTGGCAGCAGGCTCCTTTGCCAACTAGCCATCTCATTGGCTATGTATCTGTCCTTTCTTCCTTCCTTCCTTCCTTCCTTCCTTCCTTCCTTCCTTCCTTCCTTCCTTCCTTCCTTTTCTTCCTTCCTTCCTTTCCTTCTTTCCTCTCTTTTCTTCTTTCTCTTTCTTCCTCTTGCCTTTATTCTTTCTTCATTTCTTTTTTCTTCCTTTCTTTCTCTCCCTTCATTTCTTTCTCTTTTCTTCCTTGTCTTTCTTCTCTCTCTCTCTCTCTCTCTCTCTCTCTCTCTCTCTCTCTCTCTCCTCCACATCCCTCTCTTCTTGATAAAGCATTTCACAACGTAGTCCTAGGTGGCCTGGAACTCTCTATGTAGGCCAGATTGAATGCAAAATCACAAGGCCTTCCTACTTTTGCCTCCTGAGTGGTGGGACCATGGGACTCCGCCACTCCTTTAGCTCCACTATGTCTAGCCCTAACTCTATAGTTTATTCTCGAGAAGTCAGGGCTCTGGAAGTGCTGGCTCCACATTCCTGTCCCCATCAGTGAGTGAGCCCTGTATAGTTGTCCTCTCGACATGCATGATGATCACTACAGTTCTGCCTTCTCTGTCTTGTTGTCCCTACTTCTGTTCACTGACAGTCCCTTCTAGGCATTGGCATTTGCTAGCCCTCCTCTCTCCCAGACCTCCCACCCTCTCTACTGTTCTAATTCCAGCCACAGTTCTTCTCAAGTGTAAATTGCTCTCTCCCCACCAAGCAGATGTGGCGCTCTTCCTCTTTGGGCTATTTCTAAACGTTTATTAAACTTCTATAGCTGGCAGGGCAGCACGGGTGGTGCAGGCCTTTAATTGCAGCACTTGGGAGGCAGAGGCAGGAGGGTTTCTGTGAAGTTTGAGGCTAGCCTGGTCTACAGTTGTAGAACACCTGAGTCTACCCAGAAAAACCCTATTTTGGAAAACCAACCATCCTACTGCCCAAGCAAGCAAGCAAGCAAGCAAGCAAGCAAGCAAGCAAACAAAAACACCATTGTAGAGCTGTCATGGTCAATGTAGATCATCAACTTGATAGGATCTTCAGTCACCCAGAGGGCAAGCCTCTGGCACCCCTGTGAGGGATTACCTAGATTGGGTTAGCTCTGGGCACACCTGTGAGGGATTTACCTAAATCAAGTTAGCTCTGGCTAAGCCTGTGCAGAATTATTTTACTAGGTTGGGGGGCGGGAAGACCCACCCTAAACTCAGGTGCCCCCTTCCCTTGGACTTGGATCATGGACGGGATAAGCAGAGGAAAGGGGCTGAACAGAGTGTCCATCTCTTTCTGCTTCCCGACGAGGATACAACACGACCAGCTGACTCAAGCTCTTGCCTCTAGGAGGTCCATGCCATGATGGGCTACACCCTTAACATAAACCTTTCTCCCTTAAGTTTCTTTCATTAGGGCATTTTATTGCAGCAACAGAAAAAGTAACTAAGACAGACCTATGGTGTCCTGTGATATAATTCCTGTGATATCGTGTGATATAATTCCTCTCCTGACTGCTGTGCAAGGGCTAGGAGTCTACACACTCAGGCATCCGTTAACTACGTACTAGGGGTCACGTGCCCGGTGGAGTGCTGGATACGCTACTGGGAACGAGGGAAACGGAGGTTCCGAAGGAGGGACTTGCCGATTCCTCTGCTAGCACCACACAGCCCGGGAAACAGACATTTGAGTGTTCTCTCGGCATTTCAGATAAATCCGGATGCATCTACTTACATTTGCAAAGCACTTGGCAGCGCTGTAAACCCACTTACATCATTCTATTAAATAAGACGACTTTAATTTTTCAAACAACACTCTAAACCTCCAACTATACCCCGGCAGTGGACACTCCGTCCCTCCTTCCTGCTAACTTCAAATCACCCAAGTTTTGTTTTGAAAAGGTCCTCAGACCTCGCACCAAATCTATTTACCTGGGTAGCTGCTGAAAGAGAGGCGGCTGCTGGTGGTGTCTTTGTCTCTGATGTTGAAATCCCAGTGTTTATAGATCCTCAGCATGGCTGCGTACGTGTACCAGCTCGAGTGGGCAAAATAGATGTTCTCAAACCCAGGAAGGACCTGCAGTCACAACCACAGTTTTAGCAGCATAGGCTTATGGTGACTGTGTGCACGATACACGTGGGTGGCCCTCGGGGATTGTGTCAACTTATATTTATGGTGCTGTCTTCTTAAAAATGCATTTATTCACCGGTGTGGGCATATGTATTCCTGTGGGTGTGAGTGTGTTATGATGTACCTGTGCCAGGGAGGTCAGAGGACAATTGGTGGCAGTCAGTTCTCTCCTTCCACCTTGTTAGTCTTGGGATTTGAACTCAGGCTACCCTGCTTGGCAGCAAGAGCCTTGTCCCTGCTGCGTGATCTCCCCCATTTCTTTCTTATTGGAAAATATGGCCAAAGGAGTCCAACATGACCATTCAATGTATGTGGACTCTCAAAGAGAAACATCTGGAAGGTAGGAATGGCACAGGCATACAGCATAGACAGAACTGTGGGGGAAATAGGTAGTATCATGTCTCATTCCCTCCATCTGACTTCCAGCCAGGGGTGAGGAGAGGTTTGCTGTCCAAGGGTGACAGACATATGGAAAGAATATGTGTTGAATATGTGATGGGGAATATACTGTGTATGTTTATCTTATTGATTGTTAAATAAAATACTGTTTGGCCAATGAGACAACAAGTAGACCAGACTAGGAGTCAAAGAGGATTCTGGGAAATGTAGTAAAGAAGTGCTGATCCAGGCAGGAAGTGACATAGCAAGGAGACTCATATTTAACCAAGGAGAAATAGGAAGGGCCCTTTTTTCCCGTTCGCCTCCTCGAGCGGCAAGATGTGAGCCACCGGCAAGGAGGGACGCCAATAAGGCGTCCAATAAGATAAGTCTTATAAAATATATAGATGTATGATAATTGAGACTGAGCTAACAGATGAGAATCCTAGTCATTGGCCAAGCAACTTTATACCTAATACAAGTTTCTGTGTATTCATTTGGGCCCTAACTCGGGCAGGCGGCTGGCATAAAGCTCACACGTGGCGGTGGGGCTCAGGCAGCTTTTGGTGGAAAGATTTATCGTAACAAATATGTGATGAGTGAAACTGGTTACGGTGTATAATTAGTATATACTAATAAAGAGTCTGTGTGGGTGGCAAGAAGAGAGGAGCTATGAGTCTCACCTTAATGAGAGCCGAACAGTGGCCCATGTCCCATCTCTTAAACACCTTCATGCTGCTCTCTTTTGTGGGAGACAGAGAGGGGATGATGTCCAGCAGGTCGCCGACGGCGTTCAGGAATTGAACTTGGGCCATCGTAAGGGACTGTGAAAGGACACACAACAGCACTGAGCACTGATTTGTGACACGCCATCTTTGACTTTGCCTGATGTCCAGGCTCTGTTATATTATTATGTGGAGGCTGTACAGTGTGATAGGTGTACTCTATGTTACTGGAATTCACAAACGAATTTTCTGGCCTTACAATCGAGTAGTGGAGTCAGCACATGGTGTCAGGGCAGATTCTGGAAGCGAAAGTCCTAGGTGAAGACAACAGGCAGAGCTTCTGTTGGCCTTCCTCGGCAGGAGTCCCTTGGATGCAGCAGTATTCTATCTAGAGCAGGGGAACTATTTCATGGAGGGGCCGATGCTCTGTGAGCACTCTGGGGCATAGCTACTTTGCTACTATCAAAGCAACCTCCCAGCGCCGGGGGCTGTGGCCTATGGATGCTCAGGGTCTGAATGCAGGTCCCCTTGATTACACAGCAAGCACTTTGTCCATTGAGTCATCTCCATAGCCCATAGGTTGGTTGGTGCATGCGTGTGTGTGTGTGTGTGTGTGTGTGTGTGTGTGTGTGTAAAACATTCATAAGCTGTCTCAGTTACTTTTCTATGGCCATGACGAGACTCCATGACCGAGATAACTTATAAAAGAAAGAGTTTATTGGGTCTCATGGTTCCAGAGGGTTAGAGTCCATAATTATGATAAGAAGCATGACATCAGGCAAGAAGGCCTGGTCCTGGAGAAGGGCTAAGCAGGGAGTTTTCTGTGACATTGTTGAACAAGAGCAGATAGGGAAAGACCACGGGGCCTCAGCCCTGCTAAGGAGCTAAAGGCAACTAGATTATGTGGGAGTGAGAGCAGCATTCTTCCCCAGGGGAGAGCCCAACAGTTGTTTATCCAAATAACCATGGTCAGCCCGGAAACAGACAAGCGGCATAAATGGCCTGAGCAGGCTGTGCTTTTATGTATGTAGGGACACCTCTGCATATGCACACAGATGCATGCATGCATGTAACACAGTTAATGAAAAAAGAGGCCATCAATTTGAAAGAGAGCAAGGAGGAGTGTGTGAGGGGGCTTAGAGAGAGGAAAGGGGAAACGACACAATTATACTATGATCTCAAAAAAGGAAAACACAAAGTTTAAAGGTTAGATATATTTGCATCATTTTTCCTTTTTTTAAAAAATTTTTTTAAAGAAATTGCTCTTCTTTGTAGTTAAATTGTGCTTTGTAATTCGGATCAGTGTGGTTTTGAAGGCAAGCCTGCAAAGCAAGTTCCGTTCAAGGAAACGCTGCCTCGTCTCCTTCTCTTGCTCTTTCCTTCCTTCTTTTATAGGCAATTTTAGTTTTAGTTTTTTATTCTTTTCCTTTTTAAAAAGATTTATTTTTACTTTACATGCATAGATGTTTTGTCTGCGTGGGCCTGTACACTATCTGCATGCGATATCCAAGTGAGCCAGAAGAGGGCACAAGATTCTGTACAACTGGAGTTAGACATGTGGTGAACCCAATTGTGGGTGCTGGGAACTGAACCCATGTCCTCCGCAAGAGCAGCCAGTGCTCTTAACTGCTGAGCCATCTCTGCAGACCCCTTGTGCTTTATTCCTTAAAATGTTTAAATTATATTTTGTATTTTTGTGTGTTTGGAAGGTGTGTGTGTGTGTGTGTGTGTGTGTGTGTGTGTGTGTGTGTGTCTTTGTGATAACACTAGAACTAGAAAGCAGGGTTGCTGGATCAGAGGCCACATGAGTACCCGATTTTCATACAAAGTACATAAATTCTAAGCAGTGTTTTAGGACAGTGCCCCCTTTTCTCACAGCCTTGTCAACACTAGACCCATGAGGAATCCTCTATGAGGATGGTTTCTAGTTTTCTTCCTTCCTCCTCCTGCCCTTCCTTTTCCTTCCCTTATAGAGTTAGTGTTACTATTGCTATGATGAAACACCATGACCTTGGGGAGAAAGGGTTCATGAGGCTTACATTTCCACATCCATAGTCCATCACTAAAGGAAGTCAGGGCAAGACACTCACATAGGACAGGACCCTGGAGGCAGGAGCTGAGGCAGAGGCCATGGAGAGTGCTGCTTCCTGGCTTACTCAGCCTGCTGTCTTATAGAACCCAGGACCACCAGCCGAGAGATGGCACCATCCTCAGTGCCTGAGCCCTCCCCCATCAATGACTAATTAAGAAAATGCCTTGCAGGTTTGACTACAGCCAGATCTTAGGGAGGCTTTTTTTTTTTTTTTTTTTTTTTTTTTTTTTTAAGTTAAGGCTCCCTCCTCTCAGATGACTCTAGCCTGGGTCAAATTCACATAAACCAGCCAGCACGTATAGCATCTCATGTAGCCCAGGCTGGCCTCAAATCCCTTATGCCGCCGAAAATGGCTGTTCTAGTTTCATTTCTGCTGATGTGATCAACTGTCTGGGTAAGAAGCAGCTCAGGGGAGGAAGGGGTTCACTTGGCTTACAAGTGCAGGTTACAGTTCATCATTCCAGGGAGCTCAAGACACATCCACAGCCAAGAGTGCGAGAACAAATGCATCCTGGCTTGTGTACTTCTTACTCAGCTAGCACTCTCTACCCTTATCCAGTCCAGGGCACAGCCCATCAGATGGCGATGCCCATGTTCAGGGTGGGTTTTCCCATCTCAGTTAACCATCAAGACAATCTCCCACAGGCAGGCCCAGAGGCCAACCTGATCTAGACCATCCCTCAAGAGTCTTCCCTGGTGACTCTTAGTTCTGTTGGCAGTTAAAACTAACCAGCACATGGCTTTGAACTCCTGATCCTCCCACCTCCACACCCCAAGGGCTTGAGTTTCAGGCGTGTGTCACCATGCCCAGCTTTTACGTTGTATTTCTGATTTGTGAGCAAGGCTGATCTCCTATGATTAATAATTATGAATATAATTCTGGTTAGCTTTTTTCAAATATTTTGCCCTATGTATACATGTATACACACACACACACACACACACACACACCACATACTACCCCACGGTAACAAAATATTCATAATTTTTGGGACTACATCAGCTGGTACCTTAGGCACCCCAAGGTTTTTTAATTTCTACCCAGAATGAGATCCACATGGCTTTGCATATTTGTGTGTTTATGGGATTATTGCTGGGTGTGGCAATCAGAATTTATATACTAAGACATTTTTGTCTTACTAGGGAGGAAGTCTAAAGCACTAAAACTCCCATCAAGTTAGCTAAAAAGCCTGTACATTTGTAACTGTTTCTTAAACCTCACCATGAGCTGTGTATAGAAAAGGCTGGAAAAAATAGAAACAAACTACCTTTTGAACCAAAACTTTGTGTTGGTCAATTAGATGTTACAGTATGATGTATATAACAGTGCTTGTCTGTGAGGAAAGGGTATCTTGGTCCCACTTTGATCTGCTAATAACTTGGAATGCTTTTTTTTTTTTTTCCTTTGTTGAGATAGAGTCTTACTATATAGCCCTGGTTGGCCATGTACTCTTGACATTTGGCTTTATTGTTTGTTTGTCAGATGGATTTATTTAAATGGATTTCTGTAAGAAGGACAAATAGATTCAGACATTACAGCCTTAGGGATTGAACCTAGAACATACTATGTGCTCTACCACAAAGCTATGTCCCTAGCCTTGGATTAAAAAATTCTTTCTCACTACTCAGGCCATATAAACTCTGAGGGCCCTTTGAGAAGTCCTACCGTAGTCTTTTCCACTGAAGCCCTTTTTATCGCTCCGATATAAAGCCCGTCCATCTGGGCCATAACATAGCCGGTGTGTCTCCAGAACGGGTCGGCTTTCTGTAGTCTGATCTTTTCCCGAGTCCACATGTCTTGTCTCCTGGGGGAGAAATTAGATTTGACCACAGATCTCAATGGTGGCTTACTCAAAGCCAAATCAAACCAGGGTCTAGAGGTCACATACCCGCACATGCTGGTGTAATTATAACTTATTAAGTCACCACTCAAGTGACTGACCACACATTCACACATTGAACTGTTTCTACTTTTGCCCCAGCATGTTCGGAGCTTTCTTGGGGCCTTACGTAGGGAACTAGGCATGCGAAACCAACCTGTGAAAGCCGAGCACAGACTGTCACTATGCAGTCCTTAAAGAACACTGCTTCAGCGATAAAGACAGAAGGACAGACTGCTTGGCTTGACTTTTGTATGTAGAAGAGCTGACGTTGGACAAAGGGAGACAGTGCTCCGAGGACAAGTACAGTTCTGCATTTCTGACACATTTCTCCATCTCTGGAAGTTATCCATACCTGCCTTAACATTTCTGTTCCAGCATTCTCAGAAAAAAGGGTTATTTTCTAATTTACGGCGTGTGAGCATCTTGCCTGTCAGTATGTCTGTGGGCCATGTGCATGCAGGCCAGAACAGGGCGTGGGATCCCCTGGAACTGGAGTTACCATGTGGGTTCTGAGAACAGACCCAGGGTATCTGTAACAGCAGCAAGTGGTCTTAACTGTGGAGCCACCTCTTCAGGCCTCAGATTTTTTTAAAAAACCTATTATTATTATTATTATTATTATTATTACTATTGGTTTTTCGAGACAGGGTTTCTCTGTATAGATTTGGAACCTGTCCTGGAACTCTCTCTGTAGACCAGGCTGGCCTTGAACTCACAGAGATTCTCCTGCCTCTGCCTCCCAAGTGCCGAGATTAAAAGTGTGAGCCAGTTCAGGTCAAATGGTTTATTTTTAGTAGTTCTCTCATTTTTATGTCTTTTAGTTCTTTCTATGGGCTGACTTAATGATCTGATATAATTTTTCACACAGATAGCTATTTCTGGTTTGTTTGGGGTATCTCTATTCTTAAAATAATCCAGTACACACCTCAGGAGTTCCAGCCTCATGATCTTGCCTGGTGTGTGGTACAGCTTCTTGGCCTTTCACAGATGGCATGTTTAACATGTGATTCAGCAGAGCACACAAGAACCTTTGTGACCCCAGATGACTCTCCTGCCAGACCATCGATTTAGTTATATTTAAAATGTACTCTCCAGAAAATTTAATTAAAATGGAAATACCCGCAGAAAGCATTACAAGTCTGACTTTAGAACTGGGTACATGGGTAATCTCTGAACTCCAGAGGCTGAGGCAGGTGGATCATGAATTTGAGGTCAGTCTGGGCTGCATAGTAAGACCCTGTAGGTCTCCCCCAGTTTGCAGTTTAGGGATTAAGTATTCCCTAACACCCAGCTAGAATTAACTGCCAGGGGCATGACACAGAAACACCCGAGGGAAGGAGAAAGGAGGCCTAGAAAGAAAGTGAGGGACACCCACGTGGGAGGCTTCGGGGACCTGGCACTGTCTGCTCGTCACTGCCAATGGCTTCTAGCTATTTTCAGCCATTGATAATGTGACATTCAACCTGACCTCCGAAGGAGCTGAAATTATGGCAACAGGTTTTACTCCACTAGGAAAATGTGATCTGCTCCAATAGGAGAGGTTCTGCTGGAGAGACAGAATAGGAACATGGCCAGGAAGCGTTGCAGGGCAGCCTTGGCAATGAGAACAGAAAGCTTTTATACGTACAATAGGAAGTTGTACACTTTGTCTGTGATGGCAGGGTCCTTGATTAGCTGTGGGTACAGGTTCAAGAAGTGGTCATACATGAGTCTGAAACGACAGGTAAAATGCATTACATTCCAGGTCTATTGGGTTTCACGGTTGCAATAACTTACTTTTCCGGCTAATTCCGGCTAACTAGAATGTTCATCCCTTGCAAACCTCCGCCATCATTCTTTAAAATTTAAATTAAAAAGATGCACACCTTAAAATGAAGACGTCTTTGTAGGAGCTAGAGAGATGGTTCAGTAGTTAAGGGCACGCGCTGCTCTCCCAAAGTACCTGAGTTTGGTTCCCAGCACACAACATAAAAGCAGGGTGTGTGGATGATGAAGAGAGGTGGATGCTGGGGCTTGCTGGCCGGCTAGCTTAGGGGAAATGATGAGCTCTAGGATCAGTGAAGAGACCTTGCCGTAAAAAAGAAGGTGGTGGGTAGGGCGGTGGTGGTGCATGCCTTTAATCCCAGCACTCAGGAGGCAGAGGCAGGAGGATCTCTGTGAGTTCGAGGCCAGCCTGGTCTCCAGAGCGAGTGCCAGGATAGGCTCCAAAGCTACACAGAGAAACCCTGTCTCAGGAAAAAAAAAAAAAAGTGGTGGGACTGAAGAGACGGCTCAGTGGTCAAGAGGACCTGAGTTCAATTCCCAGCACTCATATCAGGAAACTTACAAACACCTATAACTCCAGCTCCAAGGAATCCAACGTACACACACACACACACACACACACACACACACACACACACACACACACACTCTGTTCACACCTACGTAGTAATAAAATAATAATATGATTTTAAAGTAATGTGGAATGCAGAAGAGGATGACACCATAAGTCGAATGCCATCTGTGGTTTCAGTGTGAAATGTCCACCAGTGACTTCTGCTGGAACAGTTGATCCTGAGCTGGCAGTGCTGTTTTGGGACGCTGTGGAATCTTTTGGACACATAGCCTAGAAGTCAGAGGCAGAGTTATAGGAGTGGGGCTGGAGGGCCACCCCTCTCCTGGAGCCCTGTGCTTTCTGAACCTGGACTCCGAGTAACCAGCTGCACATGCTTCTACTGATACAGCCACAAGCTACTCCTATGGCTTTGCCTATTCTGTCATGATTGCTCCCAGGGGCCCAAATGACCAGGGCTTGAACCCTCTGATGCCAGGAGCCCACATGGCCTTTCCCCTCACAGTTGCTCACCTCAAAGGTCTTGTCACACATGGGGAACTAGGTGAGACCCCTGGGCAGGGCTGTTGATTTGAATTTGTGTTTCAGGGCAACAGATTTAGGGGTTCTTAGTCCAAGGTGTCCCTACACACCTCAGTGAGTTTCAGGAGACAACCAAGTGTTCCGTGTGGCCCTGGGTGAAGCCAAAAGACACTGAGAGATCTTAGACTTGGCAGACATAGGGGATGCTATTGAAATCTAGGTAGAATGATTGTTTACACAGCTGGTGGCCATGTAGAGTACGTAGTCTTGCCATATATCAGACAATTAAAAAAGGGGGGGGGAGGATAAAAGAGCTTGTTCTATTGTGGTGTCTGCTGGGGAATGCCACAACACAACCATTGACTAAACCTCCTCACAAGATGCCTCGGTGACATAGACCCATTCTTGGGAATCACTGGTCAGAGGAGGGGAGAAGTATGAATGGATTGTGTAAATGGTAGCTCGTGTGGGTTAGAAGTGACTCCTCTAACACCTTCATCTGGAGGAATGAGATTCAGACCACAGACAAGTCAGGATTTTGCTTGCAGAACCTAGCCCCGCCACCCGGGGGGTGTCTGGGGAGACGGCTCAGTGGTTAAGAGTGCTTGCTGTTTGGCTTTCAGCACCCACAGGGTGGCTCACAACTGTCAGTAACTCCAGATGTAGAGGATCTGATGCCCCCTTCTGGCCTCCATTGGCACCCCATACACATGGCACACATACATCCATGCAGGCAAAACACGTATATACATAAAATAAGATAAATAGAAAACAAATTTAAGTATGCAAATATAATCTGAAGTGCAGAGACTTTGGGGCTGAAGGCACTCCTATGAGCATGGTGAATGTTCCTGAGACACAAAGCCCTCTAAGAGACACGGCACAGTAAGCAGAGGGGGCTCTTTCTGCCTGGGGAAAGTGGCCTTAGGAGAGGAAGCCAAGTGGCTGATATGGGCAGATGAAACCCATTTTCTGGGAAAAGGTTAAGCCTAGAACGATGTTTATCCTGAGGACTGAGTGTGTGGCCTCGCCTGTAGATCTACAAGAATGCTGGGTACTAAGGGATACAACAAGCATTTGGAACTGGGAGGTGCTAAGAGACAGGGTCAACTGTCTAAGCCAGTTTTGTTACTAAACAATGAAATCACAAGGTTGCTTATTTTTTTTTTTGCTTGTTTGTTTTTGTATAGAAGTCTGGCAAGATGGCTCAGCCAATAACAGTGATTGCCCCGCAAGCCTGACAGCCCCAGTCTGATACCCAAAGCTCATATAAAGGTGAAAGGAGAGAACCAGCTCCTGAAAGTCGACCTCTGACTCCCACAGGGGCATCATGGCAAGCACCCTAACCCACCATACATTAGATATGCTCGTGTAAACACACTCACACACACTCTCTCACACACACTCACACTCACACTCACACTCACTCACCACATACACTCCCACACACTCGTACACAACACATATACTCACACACACCACATATACTCACACACACACACTCATGTCACACATTCACTAAATTAAATATAGTTTTAAAATATAGAAAATAGACTTCATAAACAAATTTAATTTTTTTAGAAAAAAGACTGGGGACTTTTGGTATACAATGCTCACTTAAGTAAGGAAACAAAAATATTGTACATTTTACCTCAGTCCTCACCCCTGCGCCCTGCTAGGGAATTTTACCTCAGTCCCCATTCCTGCCTAGTTCACTCAGTGCTTCAGCTTTTTGCATATTCTCACTGTCAATAACACAGCATGTTCTCAGATATGGAAAGTTCTATGGATTTTGCTCCAGGGAGCATGTGTGGAGACATGTTGGCTCTTAAACATTTTCAACCCTCAATGAAAAGCAATAAAACCCCAAATGTCAGGATTTCCAGCTCAGACAATTCCTGAAGCAGTCTCAATCTTGACTTGGAGATGGCTGCTAAGGAGACCTACATAACACGAGACAGATGGAAACATAGACAACTGAGTGCTGGGATTATAGGCATGCGCCACCAACGACCGGTGAGGCTATATTCTTAAATTTATTTTTTTATCATATTTATGAGTGTGTGTGTGTGTGTGTGTGTGTGCACATGTGTGTGCACATGTGTGTGCACATGTGTGTGCACACATGTACGCGCTGAGTGCGGTGTCTGAGGAGGCCAGAAGAGAGCATCAGATCCCTGGGAACTAGAACCACTCTGGTCCTTGGGAAGAGCAGTACACACTCTTAATTTCTAAGCCATCTTTCCCACCCAAGATTTATTTATTTCTGGTTCTGATATTCAGAATAGGGAAGAGATATACTAGGTGAGAGGTGGAGCTGTGTACCCATCTGTGGCAACATACAAGGACACAGGCTATGTGCGTGTGTGTGTGTGTGTGTGTGTGTGTGTGTGTGTGAGAGAGAATGAGAGAGAGAGAGAGAGAGAGAGAGAGAGAGCACCTGCATGCATGTGTATATTCATATGTAAGTTCAAAGGATACCCATGGGATTTGCACCTCAGGCACTTTCCACCTTGTTTTTGAGACAGGGCTTCCCTTTGGCTGGGAACTCAACAAGCAGGCTGAGCTTGTTGGTAGTGAGCCCAGCGATGTCCCTGTCTCTCCCTCCCTGAGCCATCATGCTATTCCATTACTTGGGTTATAGGATTGAGTTTAGGTCCCCATGCTTGCAAAGGGAAGCACTTTATAGGCTAAGCCAGCCCGAAGGACATAGACATTTTGCTAATGACGAAAAGCAAGACTTCTCCATGGTTCTGTCTCAAGCAGCAGAGCCAGACGTGTGGAAGGAATTCTTGAGGTATTTTACTTGAAGTGGGGGATTTGAGACAGGGTTCTCTGTTTAACAGCTTTAGCTGTGCTGAAACTCACTTTGTAGACTAGGCTGGCCTTGAACTCATAGAGAACCATCTGCCTCTGCCTCCCAAGTGCTGGGATTAAAGGTGTGTGCAAGATATTCTTGGCAGTAGCGCAAACACAAGAGATGAACTGTTTGCTTATTTTATTGGGACCATGGTGCTGGTAAACTTTTCCAACCTTAGCAATGGTTGTATCAACATGTTAAATATTCTGAACCAAAGAATGCTCGTGTGCCCACCTCTGTCCCTCCCTTCTGAGCAATAAAACAGGTGTGTGTGTGTGTGTGTGTGTGTGTGTGTGTGTGTGTGTGTGAGAGAGAGAGAGAGACTCCTTCCAGAGGGGCAGTTGCCATGGAGGACGTTTCAGTAGCTGTCTTGGACACCCCATTTTTTAAGCCACTTTATTTAAACAACTAGAGAGAGCATCCTAGGGTCCACATCCTCATCCCCCTTTCTTCCCAGAAATGTTCCAATGCCTCATTTTCTCAATGACCCATCCAAGAGCACTTAATTTTTACATGGTCAGGGAGACATCAGAGACTGAATTACAACTCTTAGGGAGTTTCCCAGTCATGGTCAAAAACAAAGGAAGGAAACTCAGTGTGACTGGAGCTACCCTGCTGTACCATATTGTAAATACATGCTGGTCTCTGATTTGTCAACTGCAACAATAGGATTCAATTAAACCTAATGAGCATGTAGTTAACAGCTGAGGCAGAAGTGCCAAGCCAGGCATCTGGGTGCATGAATGCGGTTAAGACAGGGACCCTACCTTCAAGCTCCTACAGAAGGAGGAGGGATACAGTCAGTGGGGATACAATCACCAGAAACCACCAAGAAGACTCCATTGGAGGATGGAGAGATGTGTGAAGGGTGTTTCCTGCTCTTGCAAAGAACTTGGGCTTGCTTCCCAGCTCCTACATCAGGTGGCTTACAACCACCTATAATTCCAAATCTGGGATCTGATGCCATCTTCTAGCCTCTGGGGACACACACAAACATGTCTCTCTCTCTCTCTCTCTCTCTCTCTCTCTCTCTCTCTCTCTCTCTCTCTCTCTCTGTCTCCCTCTCTCAACAAATGAGAAAGACAGCATCAGCATTTAGCTGAGGCATGATGGCCCAGGACTATAATCCCAGAACTTGGGAAGTAGAGGCAGGAGGGTCAGGTGTTTAAAGTCATCCTTAGCAACACAGTGAGTTATGGGCCAATCCATAAGTCATCTATCTCCAAAGATAAAGGAAAGTGAAGTAGAGACAGTCTGTGTGACAGGCTGTTGGTTACTTTTCTTGTTGCTGGGACACAAGGCAGTATCAAGGGAGGGAGCATTTATTTTACTCATGGTTTGAGAGGCTGCAGTCCAGCACAGTGTAGGTGGGGTGGGCTTCATGTCAGTAAGAGCCTGGGGCTGGGACTTTTCAGATCTTGGTCAGGAGGAAGCAGAGATGCCAGACCTAGGTGCTTTGACTCTTCTGGGTGGGTGTGATTATGTGTGCAGGAGGGTGCTGATAACCTAGCAAATGCACCCCAGCTACCTCCCAGTCCTAATACATCACTCCAGGGTCCAGGAGTCACGCTCAGATAAAGCAAAGGGATGGGGTACTTACGGAGCTGTCAGGTAGCCCTCCAGGTAGCCAGCCAGAAACATGATGATCTCATTGCTCAGGTCCCGAGAATTATAGCCAGATCTGATCTCTAGGATGCCCCAGCCTGTGGTTCCAATGGAGTCATTGAAGAAGCCGTAGGCATCCCCAGTCTTGTCCAGGACATTCCTGACTTCTACCGTCCTCGTATCAGGTTGCCAGTATACAGTTGCATATATGACTCCTGCAGGAAAGGAGGGCCACAAGGGATGCGCTCAGCCACAGCTCATGCCCTTCCCCTGTGCAATTGGCATTCTAGTGTTTGTCTTTAAAAATCTCTGTTCTACAGTCTGGGGAGACGGCCCAGTCAGTGAAGTACTTGCTGAGAAAGCATAAGAACTGAGATTTGATCTCTGGCACCCTAGTAAAAGCCAGGTGTGGTGACATGCGTCTGTTATCCCAGTACTGGTTCTCAGTGGCTAGTCTAGTCTCTGGCCAGTAAGAAACCTGTCTTTGGAAATAAAGAAAGAAAGAAAGAAAGAAAGAAAGAAAGAAAGAAAGAAAGAAAGAAAGGTAGATAGCATCCCAAGGAACACCTGAGGCTGAGCGCAGGCTTTACAAGACGTCACACACACACACACACACACACACACACACACACACACACACACACACCTTTAAAGATAAATTCTTCAGTTCATCATCTTGGTCTTACAGCCCGTTTCCTGTTCTGGTGTCTAGCTGTAACATCACCAGTTATACTCTCCAAGCACTTTAGGATCCAGAAACCATACATCCTGCTTTCCACCCTGCCAGGAACTGGGTCAGCCTTTCTGATGTGAACCTACCATTTCCTCCTCCTGATGTTTCCTCTCTTGTTGCCAGGATAACAGTCTAGAAATGGTTAGTGAGGACTCAGGAAACTATCCTGCCTCACAGGGGTCACTGTCCCTGCAAGAACAATGTACCCATGCACACACAGGGGCCACTGTCCCCACTCCTTGATACCCAACTCTACATGGTGAAAGCCTCAAGTCCAGATAGTTTCATTCATTGGATACAATGCCTAGCTCATAGTAGGTTCTCAGTAAATAACTGTGGAAGGAGTCCCGTATGGCAGTGTACATCTGTGTAATGGTAAACGTTAACCGTCAGTTTGACAGAATCTAGAACCACCCTGGAGACTGGTCTCGGAGCATGCCTGTGGCAGATTTTTATGATTTTATGAACTGTGGTGGGAAGACCCACCCACTATGTGTGCCACCATTCCCTGGCTGGGACCCTGGATTAAAAAGAATCACCATGCCTACTGAACAGGAAGAGGCACAGGGCCACAGGCTGAGACTGACCTGAGTTACATCCTGGAAAGGAGGAGTTTCTGTTGTTGCTGTAACTCAAACTGAGCTACATAGCTCAGATTAGACTAGAACTCTTCACCCTCCTGCCTCAGAATCCCATTTGCTGGAATTGCAATCTATGTCATTAGACCCAAGCAGAAGGCCTTTATAGAAGGTTGAATGGAAGTGAACTTTTGCATTACATTCTTGGCAAGTGTCTCCATGGTTGTATATAACTGTAATCCCACCACTCAGGAGGTAGAGGCAGGTGGGTCACTGCAGGTTTGAGGCCAGCCTTCTAGTCCCAGGTTGCCAGGGTTATAGAGCAAAACAACAGTCTCAAAACAACAACAACAACATACACACACACACACACACACACACACACACACACACACCTACCTCTTACTCAATTCTGACAATAAATAATGAACTGTTAAAGAAGCTGTGTAGCTATAATCTAGGAACTCTACATGTCTTACTTAAAAATTCTTTTCCAAGGGGGCTGGAGAGATGGCTCAGAGGTTAAGAGCACTGACTGCTCTTCCAGAGGTCCTGAGTTCAATTCCCAGCAACCACATGGTGGCTCACAACCATCTGTAATGATCAGGTGCCCTCTTCTGGCCTGCAAGGATACATGCAGGCAGAATTCTGTATACACAATAAATAAATAAATTTAAAAAATTCTTTTCCAAATATAAAAAGTCTGCTCTCCAAGTTTCTTTCTGACTCCAGAAGCCATAGTTGATTCCTACCCTGACCTCTCTCCTTCTCTGATACACACACACACACACACACACACACACACACACCCTGGAAATGAGGAAGCAGGGATGACTTTCACACACACACACACACACACACACACACACAATGCTGGAAGAAGTCACAAAAACAGGAACCACAAACGAAAGAGGGAAGGCCAGCGAGCCCACGGGTCTCTTTCCTTCCGGCTCTATCTTCTAAGCACAAGAATTTGTATCTTTCTCCAAAACCCTTTGCTGCACACTGAGGCTGGCTGAGGCAAGGGGAGCATTCAATGGCTTAGTTCTCTCTTGTTGGAGCAACCTGCTTCCCTGACCACACAAGCCAGCTTTTCCGACACCAGCACACCTCCACATGAAGACACCGGAGTCCCATCCTCAGGGGAATTCACCCCAAACACCTGGCTACCCACAGGGCATGCATTTAGAATTAACCCCAAATCTGAGGTTTAAGATCCACCCCTAATATACCTCACTCATTCCATGGTTTCTAGCAATTCCTTCTTGTTTCTAGTGCCTGTACTATTTTTTTCCAACTCCCTTAGCATGTTAACTTATCATACATTTCTGCTGTTGAAGAGCATTTCTATGTAGGGGCAGATGTTGGAGAAAGAGAACTGGTGGGGGAAAGTACTCTGTCCTTCTAATCCTAACTTCCTTTTCAGTAGCTCTTTCAAAGTGAAGATCACAGCCTCCTACCTCTGTGAAGGGCTGTCGTCCCTACACCTCTGCTAAGTACTGCTGTCCCCCACAACATGACGTTTCTTTGAGGACTCGATTGTATGATTTTTTTGAGGGTTATTTTATGAGTGTTTTGCTCACATATATGACCGAGTACCACTCCCATGTCTGGTGCCTATAAGTGCCTGGTGCCTTTGGAGATCAGAAGAGGGTGTTGGATCCCCTGCAGCTGCAGTTAAGAATGCTAACGAAACTCCATGTGGGGTGCTTGGTGTCAAACTCAAGTCCTTTGCAGGAACTCATGCTCTCAACTACTGAGCCATTTTGCCAGCCCTACTTATGTATTTTGAGACAGGCTCTCATGTAGCCCAGGCTGGCTCTGTACTCCGTGCACAGCTCAGGAAGACCTTGAACTCCTGACCCTTCGGCCTCCTCCTCCCAAGCCATACAGATCTGGGCTCTGTGCTCATTCTTCTAATGAAAAGCAAGTTTATTCAATCATTAGTTCATTCTTAGAGGTTGGCCTAACATCACTCTTGTAATTATGTTTGCAAACAGAAATAAGAGGCCGGAGGAATGGCTCAGCCACTTTGCTTATGTCTGTCTAGGCCAAGAGACAAGTGCTAGGTGTGTTGGTGTTCTCTTTAGAATTGTGGGAATGAAAGGTTAGAGTCAAACGTGTTTAACAGCACACCCTCAAAATCAACAGACTTGATTCACTTCTGAGCTAATTGAAATGCTACTGTAATGTACATCATGTTGTCAAATTGTTGTGTGTTCTTTGAACTCACTGAACTGAGCCTAGGATCTGGGTTGCCCTGACCGCTTTCCAGAACCAAGCATGTTTGTCTCAAAAAGTCCTTCAAGGTCTGGCAACAGGTTCCCTACGCCATTTGTGACAGGGTGGGGCAGGGAAGGGAGCAGAGTACAGCAAAACAGCCCAGGAATAAGAAACACCATGTTCTTCAGAACAGCTTAGAAATTAAATCCAACCAAGGTCACTATTATTTATCCCAAGATATAATGGTGCCTGCAGTGAGAAAGGGCTGGAAGTTTGGACATGGATATTCATCCACAGAGAGAAAGCTCAATTTAAACCCCAGGTGATGCCTCGAGATGTCCCCAGCTAGTTTCTGCAGAAGTCTCGAGCATTGAATCTAATGACGCCTTCGTGACACCATCTCTATCTGTTATTCGTTCTTTTGTCTGGAAGCCTCAGCTGAGGGCATTCTCTGCCTGGGACTCTTCTGGGAACTCTAGCTGGCTGCCTCATGAGGCTGTCCCAGGTGGTTTCTGTAGGGTGGTGTGAGCACCCCATGTAGTGATGTTGTATATACCCCTTTTACCACTTAATAAACTCACGCAAAACTGAAAATGTGGCTGTTGCAGATCATTTGTTAAGCAATACAAAGGTGACCTTACAATGAGTATTTTTCTTAATAAAGCTGGGGGATGCCCAATGGTTTCCATATTTTTCATGAAACAATCATTTCTTGTGAACTTTACTATTCTCTACAAGCTTGTTTTCAATTGAAAAAACAAACAAAACAAACCCTAACTTTTCAAATTTGTAAAATGCATCTGTCCACTTATTTTTTAAGATTGGATCTCATTCTGTAGCCCAGGTTGACCTGGATCACTGTGTAGCCCAGGCCAGCTTTTATCTCATGACAGTCCTCCTGCCTCTGCTCCCTGAGTGCTGGTATTAGAGGTGTGAGCGACCACGTCTAGCTGGCTCCCATATTTCGAAGCTAATTTTCTTAGCATCTCATTTTATAGAAGAGTGAATGGCTTTTTAACCCTAGGTGACAGTGTTGGTCTTCTGGATCAGTCTTTTAGAGCGAGAAAGGGAGCAAGAAAAGGAACCGAGCAGGTAGTGGTCAGAGAGAATAAAATGTTAACTTGAGGTTTATTCTGTTCGGGTTGGGTTGAGGCCATGTTCGCTGAAGTGCCTCAGACTTCCTTCCTCTATCATTTGCTCCTAGCTTCTATGCGATGATTTTTCATCCCTTCTTCTCCTACAGGGGCCCCCAGGAAACAGCTCTCTGGATTCTAGACGTGCTTTGAGTCATCATCAGGGTTACCAAGGAAGTAACTGGTTTGTGAGCTGTGCAGTGTTGGGGCAAAAAAATGGTAGGTGTTCAGCTTGCCTCTGTGCAGAGAACAAAGCCCACATCTCTGGCTCAGAGGAGGGTTGTGGAGGCAGGTTCACCCTGGGAACAGAGGGAAGTTCTGGAGGAGCAGAATGGGGGAAGCCGATAGGGTCTCCCAACTGTGGGCTGACTGATCTTCCTGGGCCCTGCTGAGCAAGTGTGTGGAAGAAACATCTGCAGGCTGCATTCCAAGGATGGGAGAGGAACAACAGGTCATGGTGGCTCACTCCTGTAAGCCCAGCGCTTGGGATGTTGAGGCAGGGGAATTACTGTGAGTCTGTTGACTTGGGCTCCATAGTGAGATATTATCTCCAAACAAAAAAACCAAACATTGATGGAAAAGCCACATTTCTTGCCTGTTGCTGTCCTCATAGTCAGAAGATGCCCTGCCCCTGTACTAAAGTCTGTAGTTAGAGGTGTTCTGGAGTGGAAAGCAAGACCCTGTGGCGGAGTGCAACTCAAGTGAGGCACAGTGGGGCACACCTGCGTGGAGCTGGTCAAACGGCTGATGACCCTGAAGAATAGTTAAGAAACAACAACACCTGGAGACTTCTCAGATCCAAAATGGCCCACTGTCCTTACCCCCTTGATCATCAACTTGGCCTCATTCTGATTTGGTGTGTGTCACCCCCGGCACCCCCAGCCCTACACTCTGTTTTGGGGAAAGTGTCTCACTGTGTAGCCCAGGCTGGCCTCAGTTTGTGGAGATCATCTTTTTTCTGCCTCCCAAGCCCTGAATTGAGGTGTGTGCCACCTTGCCTGGCAGATTTGGTACTCTGAGTCACCATTCATCTGGAGCACTCATTAACGAGACATATTTGTGTGTGTCTGACCCGATACTCTCCATCACAAGCTCCTTGGGAACGGGAGGTGAGCCTCATCCATCATCACATCCACTCCCTCAGGCCTAGCACAATTCTTTCTTGATTATATGGCCACCTAAATCCCAAACTGGAGCCCTGACTGGAAGGCTGCCCATGAGAACACACTCACATGGAATTCATAGTCTACATAGTAGAGGTCAGAGGACAGTTCCCTGGACAGTGGAGTCAGGTGTCTCCCTCCTCCCTTATGTGAGTCCCAGGGAGCTAACTCGGGTCAGCCTCTTGCCCAGTGATCCTTTCTGGTTGAGCAATCTCAATGGCCCCTGGATATTGATTCATGATTTCAGATTATGAGTTATATTGGTCACTTGAGTTTACAGAGGATCGTAAAGAATAACACTTAAGAAGCTGGTCAGCTCCTCATGCTGGCAGTCTGACGGAGGCCTGTCAGGGCAGGGCAGTCTCTCTCAGGGATTTGTTTATTCTATTTTCCAAGCTCAATCAAAAGTCTTCCACAACTTTCCTCACTAAGATTGACTCATGTCTCCCTTTAATCCCAGCACTCGGGAGGCAGAGGCAGGTGGATCTCTGTGAGTTCGAGACCAGCCTGGTCTACAAGAGCTAGTTCCAGGACAGCCTCCAAAGCCACAGAGAAACCCTGTCTCGAAAAACCAAAAAAAAGAAAAAAAAAAAAAAAGAAAAAAGAAAAGAAAAAGATTGACACATGTCACATGACTTCTAGAACAGTATGGACACAGAGTTACAAGTTTTGTTTTACACAAACATTTCCCCATAATTTCACTACCTCTATGTTATAACAGTATTAAGTAAGTTCCTCTTTTGCCCTAGTACAAAGAAGCAATATAATAACTCTAGCAATAACTCACTGGCCACCCTTTAAAGATAAAAATGCAGCCTACAGGAGCAATTGGAACAGTAAGGACAAAAAGACCATGCTAGTGTGGTGGTTCACGACTTTAGGTGCGCTATTCAGGAGGCAGAGGAAGGGAGATCTGAGTTCTGGGTCAGCCTGGTCTACGCAGTGAGTTCTAGGCTAGCCAGGGCTACATAGTGATAGCCTGTCTTTAAAAGAATAAAAAGCAATGAAGAACTTCCATGCTAAAAAAGAAACCCGTGGAGCAACCATGAGACCCACTGTAGTGAATTCAGAGTTAAAGCATCCATTGAAACTGGACTCAACCAGGAGTCGGCCATGACACCTTAGGGAGACTGAAACGATATCCAGGATGAGCACATGGGTGAGGCTTCCATGCATGGCCGTGCAGATCCCACCATTAGGTCAGAAGACCCAACCAGACAAGTGCTACCCAGACGGATGCCCCCACTGGCTGATTCCAGGGCCTACTAAGGGCAGATGAGTCGGGCCCCAGACATAGAACCCAATAACATCTGCTTGTGTGTCTAGGTGACAGGAAGAATATGCCCAAAGCAGGCTGTAGGAGCACCCAGTCAGCCCGACAGTTATATTTCTAATGAATAATTAACGATGAGTCTGGGAACAGACTTGGGTGTGTATCAGGTTGAATTGGCTTCCATAGATCTGATCACATTTGGCAGGCTGACTTCTGGAGTCAGGTGAAGAACTAGTTTTAGGAAGGAATGTGCTACATTCTGAGTCTCAGAGAGGTTGGCTCATCTTTCTCTAGTGACCATTCCACTAGAATTACTGGGGCAGGTTTGAAAGCCAACACCTCAAAATTCCCAGGGTGCAGGTCCTTGTTGATGGAAGGTAACAAGAATTAGAGCGATTTTTGGAAAGGAGACCCTGCCCAAGTCCCACCCGATTCTTGGCAAGGTCACTGTGGAGAAGATCATGAAATCAAATCAATCCTCTCCGAATTTGACTTTTTGGAGTCTTCCAAGTCTGCATAACCCACAATCCATTTTGGTCTTCTTGCAAATGGAGGGATAAGATTGGAAAGAGGCCTGTTGAGACCTGCTTTACTGACAGGAAGGGTTACACCGGTACCCTCTGGCAACCCAGGTGTCTTATCTTTATGCAAATTCTCGACTTCCTCCCAGTCCCGGCTCTTCAGGCTGTAGAATGGAGATTTTTATCCTTTTTTTGAATTATGAGGCCATCTGGAGGAAAGAGCATTGCTCCTTTTTGTTCTGTCCCTGTCTCGCATCAAACTGATATTACCAGTTTGGTGTTACGATAAATCTTTCCGCCAGATCAATGCTCTTAAGCCAAAGTCTCTCTTCTGCCTTTAGAAGCAGAATATAGGCCCGCCTCAAATCCCACGTCTGTGAGATCTGGGTAAACATACTTGTCCAAAGGGCTTTTTTTTTTTTTTTTTTTTTTTTTTTTTTTTTTTTTTTTTGACCGGAGCCCTTTGGATTTGCTCTGGCTGTGCCAAGAATTGAGGCCAAAACTTTAAAAGTTGCCAGACCTCTAGTTCCCTCTTTAAATTCCACCTCTGGCTGGTCTATGGCAGGGCTGGAGCGCAACCCGCCAGACTCCCCACCAAGAAGTGAGACCCAAGACGCCCCTGGGTGCAAACTTGCAGGGACTCTGGCCAGCCGCGGGCGCGCGCTGGGGGTACCGGGCGGCGCCCCCAATGCGCGACGGCTCGTTCTGCTCACCTTTTGAGCTGTAAAACTGCGCGGCGGCGGCTGCCCAAGGAAGCTGCAGCAGCAAGAGCAGCAGCAGCGGCTGCGGCGCTGGCAGCCCGAGACTCCTGCCAGGACTGCGGTGGGACATCGCTCCTCCGCTGTGACCTCTGCCGAGCTGGATTAGGTCCCGCTGGCGCCGGCCGGCGGTGACAGCTGTTGCAAGAGTCGCACTTGTGGGTGGCAGTGCGGCGCTGCGTTGCAGAGGCCCCGGCGATCTTAACTTTCTTCTGGCATTAGTTTTGCCTCTTTGGGCGCTTCACGTGGCCTTGAGAACCAACCTTCGCCTTTCTGAGCTCCAGGCTGGGATAGGCGGATCCTTTCCGTCAGGTCTGACCCTCTAGTCACCTGTGGGCCGGGCCAGGAAAGTTCTCAGCAGCGCTTTAGGGAAGTTCAGGGGCTGCGCTGCTTTCTCTGGCCACCTCCTGCAGGTTGGAGCTCAGGGCTAATGAATCAGTTCAAGGTGGCCTTGGCCTCTGTGGTAGCAGATGAGGTACCCCAGGCAGCTTGGAGTCGCATGCCACTGCCTACACACAGAGCAGATTCTGTAGCCTTCTGTCTTCTTGGGTCCCTCATCCGTCAGGAACCAGGCAGGGCCTCTCGTGTCAGCCTGTCTAATAACCTCCGGAGCTCGATACCTCCGGGCCTTGGCTTCATTGGCCGGAGCTGATCCACACTGGGCTTGAAGCTCATCTAACCCTGACTCCCCATTGAGACCCCATTTCTGGGCAGGGCTCACAGTAACATTGTGAGTTGGTCCAGGGTGCCCTAGGTGACATTGTGAAGTAGGCAACAGGCTTCATGCTGACTGAGCGCAGTTTTTGCTACTGGATCCAGTTAAGACAGTTAAAAGCAAGCTCCTATAGTCGTGTTTGTAATCCCAGCATTCCAGAAGCCGAGGCAGGAGGATTACTGAAAGTCTGGGGTCAACCTGGGCTACAGAATGAGACTTTGTTTCCCCAAAGCAAAAACAACAACAACAACAAAACCCCAAACCAAACAACAACAAATCCACCAGGTAAATAAACACTAAAGAAACGATACTGATGAAAGAATACCTTTGCTAGAGGAATAAGGGTGTCAGTAATGGTTAGAAAGACACGTGTGAAGTATGGAGCACACATCACAATTTTGTTTGGTAATATTTAATGGAGAAGCTGAGGGCATCGCAGGGACTGTGAGGAAATAAAAACAAAGGCAAACTGAACCTTGGGTCCTGTGGTGCATACCTTGTGAAATTGTATCACCCCAGGTATTTATTCCAGGCGTGTCTCCATATCCCAGCCTCTGTGACCTTACTGACCCTCTGGATGCACGGAGCCAACTGTGAGGAAGAGATGACTCTCCGAAGGCACCTAATGGGAACTGGGTTCGCCCACCTGATGATTTGCTAGCTGAGTGTTTATTGACTTCAGTGTTCCAGGATAGAACCCTACATGACAGCTCTGTCCTTGCAGAACCCCATTTTAGTCGAGGAAGTGATTATTCATATATGCAAAATAATTGGGTTAGATTTTCTCAACCTCAGTGCTATTGAAATTCTGGCCCAGTTATTTCCTTGGTGTGTGTGTGTGTGTGTGTGTGTGTGCCCAGTTATTTCCTTGGTGTGTGTGTGTGTGTGTGTGTGTATGTGTGTGTGTGTGCCCAGTTATTTCCTTGGTGTGTGTGTGTGTGTGTGTGTGTGTGTGTGTTCTTTCCAAAGCCTTGAATGTGATCATTGAAAATATCTCCAGATGTTGTCCTAGCTGAAACACTACCCCCGGCTGAGCTCTGTTGTTGTAAGTTGTGGTACATTTTGACACATTTAAATTGTGGAGGTTTGAAACTTAGAGAATGGTGATAGCAAACTCTAGGTTAAAAACCCAAGGATACTGGTTCAAAATTGCAACTGGAATCAACAGGGCCAAACCCAGGGATCCAAAAGCCCCAACAGGCTAACCTCAGCCACACACTCTGTGATGGCTAATCTTAGTTGTCAACTTGACACATCTGGGAAGCAGCAATTGAGGTACAGCCTCCATCAAGTTGGGCTATAGGCATGTTTTGGTGTGTTTGTGTGTGTGTGTGTGTGTGTGTGTGTGTGTGTGTGGTGGGCAGCTGGCTGATTGCTAATTGATGTATAGGGCCTAGTTCTGTGGTCAGTGCCATCCCTAAGAGGGTAAACATGGGCTCCATAACAAAGGTGACAGAATACGAGTCTGCAAGCAAGCCAGTGAGCAGTGTTCCTTCATGGTCTGTGCTTCAGTTCCTGCCTCTTCGATCCCCCTGACTTCCCTAAACGATGGACTAAAACCTGAGATAAACTCTTTCCTCCCCAAGTATTTTATGGAAGCAGTGGGCGAGCAAACTGCAGCCCATTCCCACCACACTAATGAAAGAGACAAAGAGGAGTCGAAAATGGAGGAGATTCATCCAGTCTGGCCACATTGGGAAGATGAACAAAGAGATCCAGCCACCCCAGGTGCTCTGTCAGGGCCCTGCCATGAGCTTTAGGTTTAAAAAGAGGGAACAGGAACTCTAGGCCAAGCAGTCCTGGCCGCGGTGTGGTCCTGCCCGTCATTGACCCATCATTGTTTAGTGCCACCCTTTCCTGTAGGTTGTCACAAACGTGGAATCTCGGGGGACAAGTATATCCCCCCTACACCCTCATGGCTGGCACCAGGCTTCAATCTTTTCCTTGTTGCAGCCTGAGAGTCTAAGAAAAATCCCAGTCCTTCGGAGACTGTTGTTAGCTTCACTGAAGTGGACTTTGAAAACTCTCCTTGGTCATTTAAAGGGTTCCCCTGAAAAGGGGACTAGGATGTGACTCAATGTTAGAGAGTTTGCCTAGCATGATGAGTGAAGACCTGGGTTCAATCCCCAGCACCACCACAAACTAGCTTCGGGAGAGGAGCCAGAGCAGGAGAAAGTCCCCAACTGTCCAAGGACCCCCACACCCCAGTCTCCCATTCCTTGTAAATACCAGAAAGGAAAACATCCACAACTCCTCCTCCTTAGGATTCACAAAAAGTGGTGGTATCAGTGGAGGCAGTGGCCTCCTCCTCTCCTGAAGAATGCAATCTGAGCTCTGCCTCTGGCCCTGGGCTCCACAGATTAGAATATCGCATCCTGCTGTCAGCAGCTGGGCCTGTCAGCCACCTGGCCTGGAGCAGGACCCTCCGGAAAACTAATTTATCTAGAGATGGACTGAAGCTTTGGGAGGAATAATTATCCTCTGACTTCTTCCTCTCACCTGCCACCTTGCAGAGCTTGCACCACACCCCCTCTGCTGAATTCAATAAGACAGAATAAAACTTTTTTTTTTCCTTTCCTCTTTTCTTTTTTTCTTGTGGACATTGGCCCATGCTTTCCTGATACTCGGGCCTTGCCACTCTTTGTCTAAAGTCCTCCGGCCCTCATGCATTTCCTTGACTGCTGCACACACTGGCCTTCTTGGACTTCAAAAGCAGTCAACCTCCTCTACCTCCTCCTAGCAGCCACTGAGATTTAGCTTGCTTACCTGCCCTGCCCTGGCGTTTTTCTTTCAAAATCTAAAAACAAACAAAACAAAAACACTCCTTGAGCTTCATTCTGAGCCCATTTTTCAAGGTTTTTCTTGTTTTGTTGTTTTTTAGCCTAGGGTTAGAAGTTGCGTTTGTTTTTAAATTCTTTTAAATATTTATTTATTTATTTATTATTTATTTCATTTTGAGGGGTGTGCATATGCTATAGCACGTGTTTGGACATCAGAGGGTAGCCCTCAGGAATTGTTTTTTTTCCTTCTACCATGTAGGATCTGGGAATTGAACTCAAGTTATTAGGTGTGGTGTGCTTACCTGTCCTTCCTGCCCCATAAGAGTTCAAGATAGGATCCTGATTTTCGTGGGAACACCTGTGCCCTAAGGAAATGGTTAATGGGCATGTGGTAGCTAATTCAGTGGCACCACAGGGACTCGGGCTCCTGACCCAATGGGCAGACAACCCCAATCGGCTGGATCATCACAGGGAGCCGGAAGGGGAAATAGTTTCGGCATTCAAGAGGTTGGAGCAGGAGGCTGATGAATTCAAGGCCAGCCTGGGCTAGTGCAATTTACCCTCTGCTTTTAATGTATGATTACACAATCCCGTTTGGTTCTGTCCTGGTTAGATTAACTGTCAGCTTGACATAGACTTGACAAGAGTCTTAGTTGAGCAGTTGTCTTTACCGTGTTGGTCTATAAGGGATTGTCCTAATTGTTAATTGATTTAGAAGGGCTCAGGCCTCTGTGAGGAGTATAATTCCCTGGAAATGTGATTCCAGCTATGTAAGGAAGTCAGCTAAGGAGGAGCTCCAGTGAGCCATCGAGCAGTGTTCCTCCATGGTTCTTGTTTCCAGATTCTTGCTTTGAGACCCTACCTTGGCTTCTCCTAGTGATGGACTGTTACCTAGTAATGTAAGTCAAAGAAATCCTTTCCTCTCTAAGTTGCTCTTGGTCAGGGTATTTTATCTCAGTCACAGAAAGGGAACTAGAATAAGCCCAGTCCTTAGCCTCCTCTGCCTTGTCCACCTTCTCCTTTTCCTTGACATCAATCTTAGTTTGGGAGTATTTGATAGGTATGTGTTTAAAGAATCCTTTTCTTGACTTATCAGCTTCCAGAGGGATGTGGTTTGGCTCATTACTGTCAGGGATGGTGTGTTATCTGCTGTCACTACCTGTAGCCTCAGGAAAAGATTCCCACATACTCTGGGCATCATTTAGGGTAATGCCATCTAACAAGCTCCATAGAGTTAATGCAACAAAAGTTTATTATTGTACTACTCCAGTGTGGGAGTTCTTCATAAGTAAGTGACTTTCTTCCATGAAGACATTTAGGAGCCTAGTATCCTTTCCTCTTTTGATCTAGCATCCTCCTAAGCAGACGTTCCTACACACTGTTGTCTAGGTAATAAATATGGAAGGCCTCAGACCAAAAGAAAAACCTAACAGTTTTAAAATTTATTTAATTTTTTTCATGTGTTTGTAATTGGGTATTCCGAGAGGTCAGAAGGCATCAGATCCCGAGGAAACTTCCTGATGTGTGTGCTGGGAACTGACATCAAGTCCAAGGAAGAACGGCAAGTGCTCTCAACTG